CTGAGGGTGCTGGCTGGTGCTGCCCGTCCCGGAGGTGCTCGTACGGGAGGTACTGGAGCTGCTGGGCCGGCGGGTGCGTCTGAGCTGGAGCTGCTGCGGGTGTTGGCGCTGAGGCTACTGGTGTCGGTCCTGGTGGCGGTGCTGCTGGAGTTGCTGGAGCTGGAGGTGCTTCTGGCGCTGGTGCTGCCGCTGGGGGTGCTGGTGCTGTCCCTGCTGTGTCTGGAGTCGCCGCGCGGCCTCGGCCGTACTTCGTTCCGCTCCTTCAGCAGGTTCTTGGTCTCCCGCCCTACTGGTCCTCCTCCTCCCTTAGAGTGTCCACAGCCTGTCCCGTCACAGTTCGGGTTACAACCGGCCTCCCCGCTGCCTGCTCCTTCTCCCTACACTGGTCCTACTAGAGCTCTTGCTGAGCAACGTGAGCCTGCGTCTCGCCCTACGTCGCCTGTCCGTCCTCCTCGCACTAGTGGTCGTAGTTCGCATGAGCGTCCTCCTCCTGTCCCTGGCACGCACCGGATGTCTCTGCGTCCGTCCACTGCTCCTCCGCCGTGCCCCGTTGCCTTCTCCTCCTTAGTCCACTCTTCCTGCTCTTGCCAACCCTGAGTCGGACTCTCTTCGTGCTGCCAGTCCTATTGACACGCGTCTCCTTGCTACTGTCGTCACTGACCCTTCTTTTGAGTCCAGTGCTGCGTCTGCCCTAGTTGCTGAGCTCGTCGACTTTGCCGCTCGCTGTCGTCTAGACTATGCTGCTAGTCTTGTCGCTGAGTTCGAGTCTGTCTGTCCTCCGTCCGTCGGGGTGAGTGTGCCCTTGGCACGGACGTCCTTGAGGACAGGAAGGAGGAGTTCCAGTGTCTGGCTGCTGCTTCACCTCATCTCGTGTCCATACTGCTTACCCTATAGGGAGACCCGGATGCACTTGACATCCCGACTCCGCGCTCGTACGCGGAGGCGATAGAGGGTCCCTACTCCTCTTAGTGGCAGGCAGCTATGGATGCAGAGATGGCTTCCTGGAGTCCACAGGCACCTACGTTGACGAGGTTCCCCCACCAGGGGCGAACATCGTCAGTGGCATGTGGATTTTCAGGGTGAAGCGGCCGCCGGGTTCCCCGCCTGTCTCCAAGGCGCGGTATGTGGCTCGTGGCTTCAGTCAGCGGCAGGGAATTGACTACTTTCAGACCTTCTCTCCCACCCCGAAGATGACCACTCTTCGGGTGCTGCTGCACATAGCCGCTCAGCGCGACTATGAGCTACACTCTCTTGACTTCAGCACTGCTTTCTTGCAGGGTAGCCTGCACGAGGAGATCTGGCTGCGCCGCCCACTTGGCTTCACTGAGACTTTTCCTCCTGGCATCCAGTGGAGCCTCCGGCGGCTAGTCTACGGTCTCCGCCAGGCACCGCGTGAGTGGCACGACACACTGAGGACTACGCTAGCGGCTCTTGGGTTTGCTCCCTCTACTGCTGACCCGTCGCTGTTTCTGCGCACGGACACTTCTTTGCCGCTGTTCTACATCCTCGTGTACGTCGACGACTTGGTCTTTGCCACAGCTGACACTGCTGGACTCGCCTACGCGAAGTCCGAGCTGCAGAAGAGACACACGTGCACAGACCTGGGTGAACTGCGCAGCTACCTTGGCTTGCAGATCACCCGGGACAGAGCACAGCGCACCATTACCCTGACTCAGTCACACATGGTGCAGCAGGTCCTTCAGCGCTTCGGCTTCACGTACTCCTCGCCTCAGGCCAAACCTCTGCCTACTCGTCAGTCGCTCTCAGCTCTGCCTTCTGATGAATCCGTAGAGTCGAGTGGCCCGTACTCAGAGCTTGTTGGGTGCCTCATGTACCTGATGACGTGCACACGACCTGACCTTGCATACCCTCTTAGCATCTTGGCACGCTATGTTGCTCCTGGGAGACACCGACCAGAGCACATGGCTGCAGCGACGAGGGTGTTGCGCTACGTGTGCAGTACGTCGGGCATGGGGCTAGTGCTTGGAGGGCGACGTCGAGTAGTCCTCACAGGTCACACTGACGCTTCTTGGGCTGACGACCAGGCTACGCAGCGGTCGTCACAGGGTTACACCTTCAGCCTTGGTTCCGGCTCTGTTTCGTGGCGGGCTACCCGCTCGTCTTCTGTTCTCGGCTTCAGTTGTGAGATCTACGCCGGGGCCATGGCTGCACAGGAGCTTTGCTGGCTCACCTACCTGCTGACTGACTTTGGAGAGGTGCCTCGTTCTGCTCCAGTGCTGTACTTAGACAACAAGGCCATGCTGGCCTTGTGTCGAGAGCAGAGACTGGAGCAAAGAACGAAGCACATTGCTCTCCGCTACTTCCTTGATCGTGAGTTACAGCAGCGTGGTCAGCTGCGCCTTGCGTACGTGGCCTCTGAGGCCAACACTGCTTATATCTTCACCAAGGCACTTGCGCCTTGTGATCATCAGCGCTTCTGTACTCAGCTGGGTCTTGTGCCTGCCTTGCCTCACTTGCTCACCCCTTGACCTTGTTTGTACTGTTGCATATATATACACACCTGCTCTTGCTTGTCTAGCCTTATATATATATGTAATCCTGCATGTGAACTAGCCTTGTGGCCTTGAACTTGTGCTCGGAATGTGTGGTGACTTTGTGATCCACCCTGAGCTTGCTTTGCTTTGCTTTGCTTGACTGGTCTTGTGACCGCTTGTTCTCCCCCACTTTGCCCATGGGGGTGTGTCAGAATATTATAGCTTATGCTTTTGTGTAGGCTGTAGTGGGGGTAGCCCATATGGGGTACAACCCAAATAGGGTTAGTACTTGTACCCAACTGTTTCATAGTTTATTCATTTTCGTCTCAATGCTCACACACCAGTGTCTGCAGTGGCAAAGAACAAGTCGTCGACGTACACGAGGATTTAGAACGGCGGCAAAGAGGTGTCGGTGCGCAGAAACAGCGACGGGTCGGCAGTAGAAGGAGCAAACCAAGAGCTGCAAGTGTAGTCCTCAGTGTGTCGTGCCACTCACGGGGCGCCTGGCGGAGACCGTAGATTGGCCGCCGGAGGCTCCACTGGGTACCGGGAGGAAACGACCCAGTGAAGCCAGGTGGGCGGCGCAGCCAGATCTGCTCGTGCAGGCTGCTCTGCAGGAAAGCTGTGCTGAAGTCAAGAGAGTGAAGCTCGTAGTCGCGCTGAGCGGCTATGTGCAGCAGCACCCGAAGAGTGGTCATCTTCGGGGTGGGAGAGAAGGTCTGAAAGTAGTCAACTCCCTGCCGCTGACTGAAGCCTCGAGCCACGTAACGCGCCTTGAAGACAGGCGGAGAACCCGGAGGCCGCTTCACCCTGAAAATCCACATGCCACTGACGATGTTCGCCCCAGGTGGGGAACCTCGTCGACGTAGGTGCCTGTGGACTTCCAGGAAGCCATCTCTGCGTCCATGGCTGACTGCCACTCAGAGGAGTAGGGACCCTCGATCGCCTTATCGTACGATCGAGGAGTCGGGATGTCTGGACCATCCGGGTCTCCCTCAGGGGCAATCAGCGTGGATACGAGATGAGGCAAAGCAGCAGCAAAACACTGGAACTAATCCTGCCTGTCCTCAAGGACGTCCGTGCTAAGAGCACACAAACCCCGACGGACGGAGGACAGACAGACGCAGACTCAGCAACAAGACTAGCAGCGTAGTCTAGGCGCGAGAGCGAGCAGCAAAGTCGACAAGCTCAGCAACCAAGGCAGACGCAGCAGTGGACTCAAAGGAAGGGTCAGTCACAACAGTAGCCAGGAGACGCGTGACAGTAGGACTGGCAGCACGAAGAGAGTAAGACTCCTGGTCAGCAAGGACAGGAAGAGAGGACTTTGGAGGAGACGGCAACGGGACACGCAAAGGAGCAGTGGAAGGACGCAGTGCCATCTGGTTTGTGCCTGGGACTACAGGAGGACGCGGACGCGGAGCACGACTACTAGTGCGAGCAGCACGAACAGGCGACGCAGGACGAGACGCAGGCTCACGACGCTCAGCAAGAGCTCTAGTAGGACCAGTGTAGGGAGAAGGAGCAGGGAGGGGGGAGGCGGGCTGTTACTGTGACTGCGACTGGACAGGCTGTGGACACTCTAAGGGAGGAGCAGGACCAGTAGAGGGCGGGGAGACCAAGAACCTGCTCAAGGAGTGGAACGAAGTACGGCCTCGGCCGCGCAGCGCCTCCAGAACCAGCAGGGACAGCACCAGTACCTCCAGCGGCAGCACCAGCGCCAGCAGCACCTCCAGCTCCAACAGCGCCAACTAAAGCACCCTCAGAAGCACCAGCGCCAGCAGCACCACCAGCGCCAACACTCCCAGCAGCTCCAGCTCCAGCAGCTCCAGCAGCTCCTCGACAGGCTCGATTGCGTCTACCTGGGACACACCTGACGGGGCAGGACCCTGAGGGGGAGAGGGTCTACCGGGGGAGGACCTAGCGCAAGTAAGAGCGGCGGCGGGGGGAGGGGGCGCAGGTGCGGTAGGGGAGGAGACGGTAGTAAGGCACCGACTCGTCAAAGGTGATGTCCTGGGAGGACAGAATACGACGCGAGGTGGGGTGGTATTACTGCCAACCAGGCGCATCAGGGGGAAGCCAAGGAAGACGCAGGGAACAGCACAGGGGGACAGCTTGTCCGCAGACAAGTCACGGACAAACGCCCGAGATCCCCAGACCCGAAACGCAGACGCATCGCCAACCTTCCCCGTCCACCGCAAGGTGGGGGAGGTCTCTGGCAAGGAGACCCGGGGCTGAAGGTTGAGCCGATGCGCTGCGTACTGAACCGCAAACGGCCACAGAAAATGGGGGGCAGCCACATGGATCATGGACGTACGTGCGACGTCCATGACCATGCCAATGCGGCGCTCAGCAATCCCATTTTGCTGTGGAGAGGCCGGAAGCGGTGAAGGTCTGGCGGATGCCCTGTGCACGACAAAAGGCTCCCAGACAGGCAGAGGAAAACTCCCCGCCTCTGTCAGAGTGCAGACGCAGAATAGGAAAGTCCGAGCCGAAACTCTCTCTGAGCTAGAGACGAGCTGCGCGGATCCAGTCGATCAACACCTCAGTGACGTCACCCTTGTTGCGCAAGGGGAACACCGTGGTGTAACGCGAGTAGTCGTCAACCACCAATAGGAAGTAACGCTCGTGACCCTGGCCACGGACGCGGGCGGGGCCCCACACGTCCATATGAAGAGTCTGCAAGGGAGCCTCTGTTGGAGGAAACTCGGAGGATTGAGGGGCGGCGCGCTGCCGCCCCTCGACGCAGGGAACGCAGGTAGGTGCAGGCCCCGGAGGGAGGGGAGGGAGGGACCGGGGGAGACCAGAGACAAGGACACGGGAGGCCATGCCTCGGAGTCTAGGCAGGGAGGGGTGACCAAGGCGGGTGGTGCCAAAGGAGAGTCTGGTGGGACAGGAGACGACACGAGCAGGGAGCAGACTCAGGACCAGACCTGGACGCTGCAGCAAACACCTGACTCGACACAGCTACCTGTCTAGACTCAGCAACCAGAGGAGACTCAGTAGTCAGTGTGTACAGGCTCGACCCCGGCCGACGGGTAAACGTGGCCAAGTGTCGGCCCGTCCGAGCACACGTACAGTGGGTCACCCGCTGACTCGCCGAGTGAACTGGTCAACCCCCCAATCCTGTAGATCAGCACCACTCACCAAGTTCGTAGAGAACGAGGGGAGGTAGAGACCTGTCAGGGTGCCAGAGGGGGCTGCCGGACACGGTAAGACAGTGGAGAAGCTAGCAAGGACAGGACCCCCAGAGGGGTCCGCCAGGGAGACCGCAACCGGCCGTCTGAGCGGCGTAAGCGTGGTGCGGTCTCAAAAGAAGGAGCGAGAAGCACCCGAGTCAAGGGTGAAGGTGTGTAAGGCCTGAGCCGATGTGGTACCTGAGAGAGCAGACTCACCAGCACTTGAGGCAGCAGACGCACTAGCACCTAGAGTAGCAGCCTCACCAGCACCTAGAGCAGCAGCCTCAATGCCCGGGTCAGGCGAAACACACAGGTAACAGTCACCCTCATCACTAGTAGACACAGCATAAATGGCAGCAAGAATAGAATCATAGTCAAGATCAAAGATAGATACCCCCGCCCTAGACAGCCCTCCCTAGCGAGGGATCTCAGTGGCGTCAGGGAACTGGTGACGCCAAGCGTTCGTCAGGCGGCCGAAGCAGCGCTGGGTGGAGTGCGGGCCCCCGCACTGCTCACCAGCGCGGTCGCCGGTACGGAGGACGTAGGTACAGGGACCAGTACCCCCACCTCGCTGACGCCCAGCGTACCACTCACGAAGCTGCTGGGGGGACGGGGTCTCACGATTGCGCTGCTGCTGCTGGCGCCGATCCCCACCTGAGCCGCCCCGCTGAGCAGAGCCACCCCGACTAGCTCCACCTCCTCCGCCGCCACCTCCGCCACCGCCGCCATTGTCTCCTCCTCCGCTCCCACCGCCACCGCCGCCGCCGCCTCCGCCGCCACCGCCGCCACCGAAGGCCCCACCCCCGCCACCACTCCCACCACCACCCCCACTCCCTCCGCCTCCTCCACCTCCACCTCCACCGCCCCCGCCAGCCCCTCCAGCGCCCTTGCCCCCCTTGCCTTTGCCGGTGCGGCGTCGCCCGCTAGGGCAGACGCAGCGCCGACCGAGTCGGTGCCAACGAAGTCGACGGCAGTAGCAGAGGCAACAAAGGGCAAAAGGGGGGAGGGGGAGCACCCCTCAAAGACAGGGGCACGGGTCACCTCTAGAGGCTCCTACAGCGACTATACTCTTCTCAGCTGCCAGGAGGCGGTCCTCGAGGAGGTCAACGGTGAGTGGAGTGGGGCAAACAGAGAGGAAGTGGTCCCTGACCGAGCGAAGGGAGTCAGGGAGTCGGGTGACTATGTAGTAGAGGGTGATGTACATTGGGGGGGGGGGGGGGGGTTCTTGGCGCAGAACTCAGCAGGAAGCGCAGCGCGGTAGCGGGTGTCACTAGTGCAAAGGTGCGTAACGAGGTCAGCGACTGTGGGAAAGGCGGCGAGGTCGGGAAACAGGTACGGCAGTATGAGGCGGCTAAGAGCAGCAGTGGCAGGGGAAGAGTAGCGTGCAACTACAGCATCGTACAAGGTCTTAGCATTCTTGTACTGACTAAAGAGCGCACGCTCAGCGGTCCGTAAGTGGCGACGCACAGCAAGACGGGCAGCAGCATCGCGCGTGGCCCACTGTGAGCGAACAGTGCTGTCAGCATCAGTAGGGGGCAGGAGAGGCACCAGAGGTGAGATCGAAGAGGGAGAGTCCGTCTGCCCTATCGCACTGTAGGAAAAGCTGCAGGTCATCGACCTAGACCTCGAAGTCAACAGCACGACCCTCAACATCAAAGGTAAGGACACTGGTGGTAGCCATGTAGTAGTGGTCTAGCAGGGAGGGCTCTCACCAGTCCGGGTGGGTAGGGCCGGGGCGCGCCAGAAGGAGCAGGGCTGCAACAGCGGTGGCAGCGGCTCGGCAGTGGCAGTGGCTGCTCGACGGCAGCTGCTCGGCGGCTCGGCTGCTGGGCGGCACGGCGGCTCGGCGGCTCGGCTGCTGGGCGGCTCGGCGGCTCGGCGGCTTGGCTGTTGGGCAGCTCGGCGGCCCGGGTGATGGGCAGCTCGGCGGCTCGGCTGCTCGGGTGCTAGGCGGATCGACGGCTCCGCTGCTGGGCGGCTCGGTGGTGAAGGGGCCGTGAAGGGGCGGCGACCGGGGCCGGCAGAGGCGGCGACGGGGCCGTGAAAGGGCGGCGACAGGGCCGCTAGGGGCGGCGACGGGCCTGCGAAGAGCGGCGACGGGGCCGCTAGGGGCGGCGACGGGGCCGAGAAGGGCGGCAAGGTGGCCGCGAAGGGCGGTGACTTGGCCTCCAGGGGCGGCGACGGGGCCGCTAGGGGCGGCAACGGGGCCGCAGAGGGTCCGCAAGGGCCTAGAGGGGCGGCGACGAGCCGCGAAGGGGCCGTAAGGGGCCTAGAGGGGCGGCGACGGGGCCGCTAGGGGCGGCGACGGGGCTGCGAAGGGGCCGCGAGGGGCCTAGAGGGGCGGCGACGGGGCCTAGAGCGGCGGCGACGGGGCCGCGAAAGGGCCGTGAGGGGCCTAGAGGGGCGGCGACGGGGCCTAGAGGGGCGCTACGGGGGCGCGAAGGGGCCGTGAGGGGCCTAGAGGGGCGGCGACGGGGCCGCAAAGGACGGCGACGGGGCCGCTAAGGGTGGCGCGAGGGGCCGTGAAAGGGGCCGCTAAGGGAGCGCGATGTGAGGGCGGCCTACGGGGCACGCCTCGGGTAGGAAAAATCGAGTTCAGTGGTGGGCCTTGAGAAGCGTTCCCACGAGGGAACCTGCTCTATACCATGTGAAGAATGAGGAATGAATGAACTAGGAAAGAGGTGGGTACAAGTAGGAAACCTAGAAATGTTTTACCCCATATAGTCTACCCCACTACAGCCTACACAGACTATAGCATATAAGTTTGACAGTCAGAAGAGTCAAAGCGTCGCAGCAACCGTCTGACCAAGACCGATGCAGGCAGAAACATTTGAAATGAAAGGAGCGGGAACAGGTTTGAAACGGGTTCCCGCGCCGCACGGTTTGAACTCGCTGCAATATGGGAATGTACCCCTTAGAGTACATGGCTAGTCTAGGTCTTTTTGTATTCCCTCGTATTCTTATATAAACTCGATGTATGCATGCTATTATCAATCTCAGTCATTTACATTCACTCTGACTTGAGTTCACTACTTCTGCTGCAACACTATTCTGCGATCAACCTTGTGCGATCCTTGGTTAAGTCCCATTTGGGATTATAACACCCTTGAAGTCCAATCACTAGTCAAGAACGCGTTTGATCAGAGTACACTCCCGGAAAACTCTGAAATTTCAGAGTTAGCCTTAACATTTTTCTGAAAAATTACAGAGTTGGGACCCTAAAATCTCTGATTTCAACAGAGTTCACTTAAAAAAAATCTGAATTTTCAGAGTTTTTCATGCAAATCAGAGAAAAAAGTCTGACTTCTAAGGGCCTGGTCAAACCCCTCTTCTCTCTTAAAGCCATCTCTCCACTCAAGCTACTCTAGCCATGGCTCCTCAGCCCAAGGCTCATATTCTGACATTTTCCTGCATGACATTCCATCTGTGATCATAAGCAACCGCGACCCAAAGTTCGCATCAAACATTTGGAATGAGACCTGACGTGAGCATAATACCGACACGTCGAGACTCTACTGTCCTGTCAAAGTTATATCATAGTTCTTACTTCTCTAGTGGGATGCATCTTAGGGGATACAACTTTTCTCTCATCATTCTACTTGTACCCCCCCTTGACCTAGCCAACACCATTCCTCGTCTCTTAGTTTAACATGGTATTAAGAGCGTTATGGTCATTAGGACCGGATTTTTAAGGGGGCCCACCGTTCAATTTTCGCTCTGCTGCCAGAGTCGCGCCCCTAGGCGCGTCCCGTCTTTTATCCTACCCGAAACGCACCCTAGGCGAGACAATTTTCTGCCCTAGGCGCGTCCCGTCCCCTAGGCGAGACGATTTTTTCTGTCTAGTCACAGCCCGCGTGCAGCCCGTACTGTCAAACTATATGTTTATTGTTAGTTAGGCTGTATTGGGGCTAGCTTTAGGGGGTACAGAATTTCTCTCGACATTCTAGCCTTGTACCCCATCTTGACCTAATCTACTCATTCTTGCCTAGTATTCTTAACATGGTAACTAGAGCAATAGGTCCTTAGGACCTGAGATTCGGGCCCACCATTGTCTGCCCCTACAGCCTTACCTGCCTTCCCTGCTGCCCGCGCGCGCCCGTTAAAATTCTTTTTTTTAGCGTGCCCCACTGCTGCACCTCGCGAACGGCCCGTTGCAGCTTAGTGCGTCGCGCTGCCCGCCTCAGCCGCCCGTTGCCTGCAGCCGCGGGCAGCCCGCAGCCTGCCGCCCGACACCGCGCATAGCCTGCAGCCGCACGCAGCCCGTTGCCACGCGCAGCCTGCCGCCCGCCGCTGCGCGCAGCCTGCAGCCGTGCGCAGCACGTCGCCCTGAGCAGCCTGCAGCCGCGCGCAGCTTGCAGCCCCACGCAGCCTGTCGCTGCTGCGCTCTGCCTTGCCTGCACGCTGCCGCCTCGCCCTGCGCACTTGCTGCCCTGCCTTGCACCTGCCTTGTCTTGCACCTTCCTGCCTTGCACCTGGCGGCATGCCTGCCTGCCTACTGGCCTGCCTGCCTGCCTTGAGTCATGCAGCCTGCCTGCCTGCCTTGCGCCTGCCTTGCCTTGCACCTTCCTGCCTTGCACCTGCCGGCCTGCCTGCCTGCCTGCCATGCGCCTTGCATCCATTGCGCCAACCTGGCTTGTGAGCCTGATAGCTGCTGTGGTCTGCTGTAATGGCGACGCTTAACGTTCTCGCGTTTGATCCTGACGGTCGCCCGATAGAGTTTGCCACTTGGCTTGACGACCTGCAGCTATTTCTTATGACGGATTCCAAAAACGGCGTTTCTCTGTTCGATCACGCGTCAGGCACTGCCGCTGCCCCTACTGCCACTGATCCTGTTCTTGACCGCTCACAGTGGAAGACTCGCGATGCTGCTGCGCGCCTCGCTATCCGTAACCACCTGCCAATCACTGAGCGCACGCATTTTAGTCAGCACAAGACTGCTAAGGCGCTGTATGACGCTGTATTTGCGCGCTTATTCTCCCAGCCACTGGCAGCCGTAGGACGCTTCATTCTGCCCTACATGTTCCCCGACCTGTCCTCGTTTACCACTGCTGAGACCTCATCTGTGACCTCCGCGCTAGTGACGCCCGCTTTCGTGCAGCTCTTACCGACGAGTTCTTTCGCCACGAACACCCCACCGCTGTAATTTACCTCTACATCCGTGTCACTCGCCTCCCTGACCACTCTTAGCTCGGTCAGGGGACCATTTCCTCGCCAAGGACCCTACCACTATCACGCTAGCCGACTTCGAGCTGCAGCTCCTAGCAGCAGAGAAGAACATCCTCGCTACAGGTGCTGCCCGTGGCACTCCATGCACTCCCCTCTTTGAGGGGTGCTCCCCCTCCCCTCTTGCCCCCTCCTACGCCTCGGCTGCTGCTGCAGTCGACCTCCTCGGTGCTGAGAAGGTTTGCAGCGGCTTCCGCTCCTAGTGGGAAGCGCGGGCAGTGGGCCGGGGGGCGGCAAGGGTGGCAGGGTGGTGGCGGTGGCGGTGGGCGGGAGCGGTGGTGGAGGCGGCGGGGGTGGTGGCGGTGGTGGGGGTGGTCGTGGGGGTGGAGGAGGTGGGTGGGGCAGTGGTGGAACCGGGAGTGTGGAGGTGGCAGCGGAGGTAGTGGGGGAGGAGGCAGTGGTGGTGGCAGTGGAGGTGGGGGCGGGAGTGGGACCAGCCATAAGGGGAGTTCCAGGTGGTGGCTAGCAGCAGCATGCTCCCCAGCGCCGAGATCCCCTCTTCTCAGCAGCTCCATGACTGGTAATGCTGGGCGTGGGGTGTCTGGGGGTCCTGGTCGCTGCCCCTATGTCATTCTCACTGGTCCCGTAAGGGTCGCCCATGCAACGGCTTTCACACTGAGTACCGCTGCTTCGCTCGGATCAGCGACGCCTGGCGCCCAAGTTTCCTGATGCTGCTGAATTCCCAACTGGGCAGATCTGCTTAGGCGTGATGTACCTATCTTTGATCTTGATTATGAGGTAATCCTTGCTGCCATGTATACATTGACTGTTAGTGCTGAGGGTGACTGTTACTTGTGGTGTGCCGCCTGACCCCGGTTATAGACCCAGGTATATAGCGCCTGCAGCCCTAGGTGCTAGTGAGTCTGCTCTCCCTGGTACTGCGTCCGCTCAGCCTTGCACACCTTATACCACTTGAACTCTAGTGCTTCCCGCTGTTTCTTTTGTGATAGCACCACAGTCACTCCCCTTAGTCGTCCCTGTCCCTGTCTCACTGGCTGACCCCTCTGGGGGCCAAGTGCTTGCACGATCCACCACTGTGCTTCCGTGTCCGGCAGGTCCCGTCTGGTGAGCTGTCAGGTCTCCACCTCCCCTCATTCTCTACGAACCTGGTGAGCAACGCCGTCCTTCAGGATCACTGGGTTGACACCTTTACTCCTGGAGGACAGCGTGTGGCAATCTGCACGTGCTCCCGGACAGACCGCCAACTGGCCCACGTTCACCCGTGTGCCTGGGTCCAGTCTGTACACCCTCACCACTGCGTCGCGCTACACCCCTTTGTCTCCCCAGCTGTACGCGTCTGCTCAGGTAGCTACCCAGTGTGAGTGTCGCCGGCTAATCGCACGACACTCTCCTTTGGCACCACCGCCTTGGTCACCCTCCTTGCCTCGCCC